GGACAAATGAATAACACAACACTGTATAAAAAGCGAGCAAAGATAAATTTGCAATGACAACAGCTCATTTCCATCGCGTTTAAATGCATTAAAACGGTGGGGAATTAACCATCTCCCAAGGAGTGAAACCCACATTCAGCATCATCAACACTGCCTAGTGCCTGTGAAAAACCGACTGGGCTAATCCAAACATTCACCAACGCATCTTTATCTCAAATTATTTTATCCGTTATTTAAAAGCATCACTATAAAGTTACCTGGCGAAATTAGTACACAGGTATATTCAATAGTCTCATAATAACGAACGACTGGATCTGGGGCTTGAAATCTAAACGAAGTCAGGAAACAAAACCATGAGAAAAACGAGGGAAGGTACGATGTTGTGGCATCCTCTCTTTTAAAAATGAAATTTCTAATTGCCAAATTGCCTAGATTCATCCTTTTCCAGTCGCACCCTATTCTGCTTACGAAAATCCATAAATCATGTAATAATGTTATCACGGCGAGAAAGAACCACATTTCAACAAGATAACAGGAATGCAGTTATTTCGGGTACTCTCAATCATCTGCATACGCACAGTAACAATCAAGGTAAAACAACAACAAAGACATGATAGGTTATCGGACAAATGAACACACCAATTGGACCAATCACAGGGCAGGGGCAAAGGTCACATAGTCAACCACGGGGAGTGTACACATGGCGGGGTTCAGTCCTACCAGGGCAGGGCAAGACTGGCCAAAAAGTCAAACTGTTTAGACAAATTGGGTTTAAGCCATCGAATGGAGGAGGCATCAACAAACTGAATTAGATGATGATGTTGTTGTCTACTTATGATCCTGAAAGTTTTGCTTGGCTCCATACAAAAGTTGCAGTCTAATATGTGGCGAGCAATACAGCTTTTGATAAATTTGTCAGCGATAAATTCTTGGGAATGTGATCGGAAATTCTTACAGACAGCCGTCTCTCAGTTCGTCCAACGTGATTGCTACCGCAAGTAAACTCGAAATATGAAATGTGGTTCTTCCTCGCCGTGATGAAATTTGTTAAGGGAACCGGATGTATAACATTTATTAATGACCAGCGTGACAGCAAATCATCTCTCTCACTGATGCGCCAAACAAATAAACTCACACACACGCTATTCGAGGTTGTCACGTCACATAATACGATTTACATGACCGTTGGTTGATTTGGTGGCTGACATCACCACAAAGTTTCAACTTGACTTCAAATGGTTATTATTTTTCCAACTTCAAACTGTAACTGTAAGGTCAACGTGGTATCCGTTCGTGACTTCTCTTCAGCTTGGTGCTAGTCCTTCAGCTTAACCGCACTTTTCCGGTGAATAAAGCTGTCGTAGAAATTGCTTGCATTTTCGTATCATCCAACTGATTGAGCACTTGGTTTGATTTGTATGTGTGATCACTTGGTAACTATTTGCAACATATATACCGGTGCAGAACTGTTCTCTGGGGCAACAGTTCATGCAAAAGTCGGTTAAAAACTGTGATCACAACTCCCAATAAACTTGATTTTCCTTTATGGTACTAATTCGATTCGTTTGCACATTTCGCACTTACCACTATACTTCCATTTGTGATCCTCCTTCAGCAATAAACGAAAGGGTACTACGGAGTATATTTTGATATATTTGAATGAACCACGAATTAACAACATTATTAATCCCGGTTTATAACCTGTGGGAAGACAAAGGTAAAAACATCCGTGGTCTAAGTGCATCATGGCAGAATTCTTGGGGGTGGCCCACTACCATCAAAAGGTTCTCCTTTAGTGAACGATGAACTGATGTCACACGTACTTCAAGCCAATCACGGCTTTGTCAAGGAAAATCAGGTGATTCTTCCTATCAGAATAAATAGGCATTTTGCCTTGCACTTTCGATTAACTTATTCTGTTCGTATATCTCAATGTCTCTCTATTCTACAGATTCCATTCTTTACATTTATATAAAGTAACAGAAACTTTACTTTATCGGTCCACAAGCAATGACCTCATTGTGTTGTGAGCCGGTAGTGCAAATGTATCGTTCGTTCGAGGGGCTCCTTTTGACTTAAGTCGATCAGCCAAGCGTTGCGAGTTGCATAATAGTATATAGTATACAGTATAATAAATCATTTGGGGATTCTCACGGTATTCGAAAAAGAACGTGAAACCCGGAAGCTGATAAGTGAGTTTGTTATAACAACAGAGGATGCAAGGAGACTAGCGAAATGATTTAAAACCAATCCAGAGTCTTTCATGAAACCGTGACTTGACTGTTTATGGTTACAATTTTCTTTCTGTAACCCTGGTATAAACCTACCAATGTTCCCCCGAAAAATAACACCTTCTCACTGGCTTTCTGGGTTTGAGGCACGAGGAATAGTTATTGATCGTGATAGATTCAAACCACAGGTGGCCAGTGTTCGTCTGAGTTTAATTTCGGAACCGGGGAACGCGCGGTGCCTTTTTATTGAGGAAACAGTAATGGAGTGGTTCTCCATCAGACATGGGGATATCTTTCGCTGTAAGGTTCCTTGTTCTCACAGAAGGTCAACCACAGTCGCATGTTTTAAGGATGAACAATAGCCACTTGAGCTCTATTAAATATATCAGGTCACCTTATTGAATCCCACTAGGAAATGTGAGCACAGTTTTGAGGGCAAGCTAGAGTGGTACGTGATTAGTTCTGGTAAAGTGGGGTTCTCATTTTTAACAACAGTGCATCACCAGCCTTATTCGACGCTAATGTAAAATTGTTTATCACCAGATGTCGTCTTTAGATGTGGAGTGTCATTCTACCGTAACAAGGAAAGTAGATGTAAGCACCACGAACAATTAGTTACAATAAAAATCTGGATTAAATTAGTCGTCAGAAAGCTATCAAATAAGTTTTGTTAGTGGGAAGATTATTTCGGTTTAATGAAGAACGGTGCTGCAAAAGTACAACGTTTACTATTCTCGAAATCTCTCTTCGTCGTGAGAGATTAGACGGACTGATATGGGATTTGTTCGGTGATGAGGCGAACTAATACCCTAAACGTAGCTGTAGTGTGACTGAGCATACTGTACCAAATAAGATTGCCTTAATTTTGTTCAATGCGGGCATTACGTTATCTTGGCTGTTCCAGTCGATCACAGCCTCACTCATGGTGTCGCCCTGCGCTTGCTAGACGAATGACGGGACAATGAAAGCACACGGCCACGTGGTATCGGTGGACCCATTCGAACAGAGCATGGAGTTGCTGAACTTTGCTCAACGAATCCATTGCAAGAAGTAGGAGGAAGAGCTAACTGAATCACCTGTCTTCACGAAGGTTCAGTCAGCCGGGGGCAGGAATGCAATGACGCAAGGCTACTGAACATGTCTGCTGGAATAATTATTTGTTCGTGGAAGAACAAATGTTGTTGGATACAGGAAAAAGAAAACGTGACCTAAAAGACTGGGAAACACCATATGACTTTTCGGCTTTGTTGGATCCACTGAGCAGTGCGAATCTATCGACCCCAATGGAGACCGAACCTGACACCGCATGGAAGGAAATAAAACATAGTACCCACTTAACCAACGATCAGCCGATCAGTTTGTTTTATTTCGTATGGGCACGATGTAGCACAAACCTGTGTTCACGATTCTCGCGTAACTTCATTCATATCTGCTTATCTTATCCTACCCAGCACAACTAGTAGCATTGCATAACTCTATACTATTTTCATGACTCAAATGGTTTGTTTTACTTTATCTTTTCCTCACGGCTTATCAAAATCCTGTCATTGAATAAACTTACTTTGATTATTTTCCCTTACTTTAGCTATATGCCCTCTATGCCACCACCCCGCTCTAAAAGCAATCAATCATATACAAACATAATTCATCATACCAGATATTTCTTACCCCTTAATGCACATAGATCTATGGACACATTGATATATTTGATTGTTCAAATGCAGTTTTTATCAACAATTTATAAGAATTCTGCTTTTGATTTACATCATTACTGAACCCCACACTGGTACACATTAGCTGTTAATGACTCACATAAAGTGATTACTATACGAAAAAAATGTTGGTTCAACAGATATCTTGCACAACATTCCTACCTATTCAAATTTATTACAGAAAACCGCTGATCCAAGCTCTATGGTTAACCTAAAGGACCAGATGATTTACGGCCTCAGTATTGTCGGGAATAGGTGTCTCGGGTTGTGGCCGGACACCTTACCCTTTTCACCACACGGAATTGCCCCTATATAACCAAGTGTTTCAAATAGTCTCTCTAAAGAAGTCCCGATCATTGCCTTACAGTAGCGAAGCTGTTTTTCCAACAAAGAGTAAGAATGAATAGCCTACATCCGGGGCTATGGCCAGACTAATGAGCCACTGGCAGTTCACCTAGGGGAGTTGGCTAAAAATCCTGATTTTAAACCAACCAAGCAGAGACATACGCACAATAGACGTCTTTCTGGTTGTGGCAGCAGTCACCGGCTCNATATTAGGCACTCTGAACGTTTAACTTCGTCTGAAGAACGTATGATCCGACAAACTGTCAACTGTTTCCCCTCCAATGGATTGTGGCTTTCACATACCACTTTACGTGCCAGACTTTGGCTATAGACAAAGATTGCCGTTGTGAATTCCTCCTCAAAATACACCTGAATTGGCTTGGGCAACTTGGTAGTATTCCACCCACAAAAAATCATGGAACTTTCTGTTTTATTAAGAGTATTACATTATGATTTGTTTGATACACAGTCTGGTCCCGAACGTGAGTGAAAATCACAATATAACCGTCTGAGGTTGATCATTTTCTTCCAACTGTCTTTGATAGCATTATAATATAATGAGTAAAGTCGCGAGCATTTTCAACAGAAATCCCACTTAACCTACACATTTTAGTTAAACATATTCAAAAAGCAAGCCAGAAAAAACGCTCTCTCTTTATCACATGATCAATCATGTGATAAATTCATCGAGTGCTGTGTTCAAACAATATTATCAAGTTTGGAAGAGCACATGCAGACTCACTTCTGGAGCGACAAAGTTAGCCGTATAGCATGGAGTCATGAGTAATCCGTTTTCCGCTCGAAGCTGTTTGGCAAATCCGAAATCGCAGATACGCAAAGATGATGGGGAACCACTCTGATCCGCATACATGATATTGGACGGTTTTAAATCGCGATGAACTACCTGCAGGTTTGGGGAACACAATCGAGAGGCAAAAACGTTAGTGAAAACATAAACATTCCGAGAAAAACATGATTTAAGGTGAAACCAACGGTGATTAATGAAAGCAATCAACATGAAAAAAGACTATCTAAATGAATTTTCGTAGATGGAATTCGTCGTGTACATAGCAAATGAAGCGTGAACCGAAAAGCTAGGTAGCACCGGAGGAGCTATTTCGACCTGGTCGGGTCTTATCAGCAGCGCAAATCCATCGACCCAACTGGGAATCGAACCCGGGAACTCGCAGGGAGAACGAAGCGTGCTGCCCATTCGGCAACCGGGCAGCTGATCAGACCGTATTTCATTTTCCATTTATCCGATATAGCATAACCCATTTTTGCGAGCATGTTGCGGGCATCGCACAGCACTCATCTCAGTACTAGTGCAATGAATCTCAAGGGTTTTGAGTTCCATGTCAATTGAGGGTGCCACCACACAGATTCTCGTTCAATATGATATCGAAATTTTCCTTCACGTGTTATTTACTTTGTGCAAGAAGCGTAGAAGAGCGCAAACCTTTCGGAGTAGAGACGTCCACTACTTGAATATTTTTCGACCATAAACATCAATCCCTGAACCGCAAATCAACGTCATTGTTCAGTTTTTTTTCGGGATGCCGTGGTCTGGTTCATTTTTTTTACTTAACAAGGACCGCCATCGCAAACAATGGCACTCGTGCATCTTCCAGATGTCTTTCCAACTTAAGTCTACCAAAATTCTCTCTTTTCTCTTAGGCACTGCCCTAAGCATTACGAAGTTACCTCAAACCGTTCGTGGAAATGTGCAGGCAAAAGATAACACTTGATACCACAGTAGACAGGTGCATGTTCATTCGTTGGAAAAACAAACAGGACTTGGTTCCTTTGCTGCAGAATATACACGTATGTTGTATATAAAATAGTTTGAAGAGTTAAACTTCTACATCCAAAGTTGAAAGGTCCCCATCATTTCGTGAAACAATGTGAGTGTACCTATGAAGAAGAAGGTTTGAACTGATTACCAATACATATATGTAGATAAATGCCTCGCTTTAGTTGCTTTGAACAGAACTGAAAAAGATGACAAAATCTGGAACGAACAACGACACCAGAAACAGTACTTCCACGAATTCATCAGTTGCTAGTGGTTATCATTTTTCGAGAACGCTTTCCTACTTTGGTGAATTGGCAAACAAGAAAATCAGCAAATAAAAAGGTATCTAAACGAACGTCCTTCTACAGACTTCTATATCAGTGATGTGCGTACGTGCAAGACAACCCTCCGTCCTATATATGCATTGGAACTTCTAGAAACATCAGTCGAACAATGGATTAAAGTAGGGCATTGCAGGTAAATTTAATGGAAACGATTTAGCATCCCGGCCGCCACAAAAAGGATACCGGAGGATAACATCGCACACCATTGTAACGAGGAGGCTGGGGAAAACCCTATATCGGTAGGCTAATGCTGATGACACTCGGTTTGACCTGTTTTTCCGCTGACGTGGGTGGATTCCATGCACGGGATCATCGTTCGACTGAACTATGGGCACAAGATGGGGCTGGATTTACAACAACATTTCGGGTTTCAGTGTATCAATGCGTGTACCATTAGGAGTAGTTCACCGATCTGTTGTTTGGATACGGTTTGCAATGCATGTGCCCTTTCATCGAACATCATTCTTTCATTCACAGGTACCACTATTTCGTCACAATGGCAACCTGTGTCGGGAAGAAATCTCAACAAGAGCCAAGACACTATATTGATTAAATCGGAATTATTCGTGAGTAAGATAATCCTTAACCCAGCAAACTCAAATCCAGCTTCGATTGTTTTATACTAAGTATATAAATGATTTAACGGAATTATCTAGAAGCTATTGGCCGATGTTGCGATTATCCTTCAGCATCAAGTTTACGTGACTTGTGCTGTTACACAATCGCCATTCATGAAACAGGCGCGAACTTATGTCCATCTTATGAATGAACTAGAACCTTGGGAAGGAAACCATTTAAAAAAGGTTGCAAAAAAACTGAAACTGATAATTATAAAACAGTGTTAAACTTCAACCTGTAGGTTAAAGTTTGGCACTCGGGAACTACATAAAGCCATAAAGCCTCAAAATTAGTCAGTGGGTTTCAGTTCAGTTCAGTTTATGCAACCCATAACCGTGCACTTTCGTGCGCCAGTTATGGTTGCTCTCTTTTGGTTGCTCATTTAGATGAAGAACAGCAGAAAGACAGGAAAGTCGAAAGTGGAGTCGAATGGAAAATGGAAAATTTCGGTGGTCTAAAGCTACAATGAAATTGAGAAGATGCACGAACGCCACTGTTTACGACACAGCGATGTCACTCAATGTCTTTAAGCGTCGGTTACGGTCATCCCGAGGTTCCCAGTCAGGGAGCCTAACCGAATCTAAGTGACCCAGCCCCCTGGTTGGGGTTTTCATACCCTCATACCAGGTCTTGGCTTGAGCACCCTTGGCTTTTTTCCACCCACTATCTGTCTCGGCGAGCATGGCGGCCTTGGCATCCCATCTGGTGACATGCGTAACATATGCCCAACCAGCGTGATCTATGGAGGTCAACCACTTGCTCAAGTGCACTAGTTCGCTAATCGATGTGCAGGGGCGCCAAGAAGCAATTATGAGCTTGAATCGGTAATTACAGCTTGTTTATCATTATTTGTTCTCTCGTCAACAGTTTGCTTTTATCCCGGATCCCCACGAAGCGAAGAATGGTGAACATATTTTTTGCATACAGGCGAACCAATATAATGCACCAAATTGAGTCTCCCTTAGTGTATTGCTGTTCTGACTACTACCTTTCTATACTGTCACGCAATCTAACCCCGATAGTTGTAACGTTACATGTCGTTCCATCACATATGTTGTACGTTTATGGGACCATTGTACCAAACGCAAAAAGCACATCTGAAATACAATTCCTCTAAATTTTTAAGTCGGATAAGAAATATTAAGATTCAGAAAAACGTTTTGAAAAGATTTTCTTAATCTTTTTGAGAATATTTTTCATGGAGACTACTCAACAAGCTGTGAGACAACCACGGTGAATGGATGCAGATTGTTATGGGTTTTGAGATAGGCGATCGCACGTTTTAGGCGTGTAATTGCCTGAATGTGTGTGTATGTGCGTGTATATGTGGCAAGGATGAAAGACCATGGAAAATGATGACTGACTGCGCGAATGAGCAAGAGGTCAGAATATCGTCACACAATTCAAGATAATCGAAGAGCTTTAAGTATGGTGATGTGGGGCGCGAAGAACTGATACTGCTGTGAGCGTGTGAGTGAGTGGGTGAGTATGTGACATTATTCTAATAAGCTCATAAATTTCCGGACGCTCAGTCAAGCCATTTTCTAGTGTACGTTTTGGCACCTCTTGCAGGTTCGTCCATTGACTCATTTTACTAGTCGATTTATGTGAATGAACACCTTTACTGTATCATTTCTATTTACCATATAAAAAGTGTAATCGCTTTCATATATTGGTTAGCAATCATAAAAGAGCCTAAGGTTTTACTATTGTGTGAACATGGTTGTTCATAACTTGAACGAAACTCGTTTATTCCGCCTATAGCATTAAATATGAACGAAAGTCGATGAATTGTTTGCGAATTTCTTGTCAACCCAGTGCAGTTCTATGCAGAAGAATGTTACCACGTTGGGGGGAGGGGGTTGGCAAGCAATTTGGCAAAGTGGATTGGTAAAGTCAATGAAATCCATCGAAGACAAACAAACAAGTTTTCAAGTCACGCAAGCAAAATTTCCGCAAAAACGGGCAATTACTTGACGTCATAGCTGCTAATCGGTTTCCAACGAAAGTCGTTGCTTGTATGGTCCGGATAATTGGGTCTATACAAAGCTTGATTAATTATTCAAACATTTTATTCCATATGAATTCATAGACTTCCGGGTATGTGAATGTTTCTGAATGTCTGGATTTCACGTCACATGAGCTATTTTATACCGATATATCCTAATGCATTTTTCAGTCTTGAAAAGCTTTGAACAACTGCCCACAAGGAGCAGACTGTGTGGTTAAAGGTTTTCAGATCGATAACCCGCTAGGATATGCAACATCAAGGCTGTCGATAACTTCCAATGAGGACGAAGTAGTTGTCCAGAACGAGCTCCAGTAAATTAAATTTACTTACATTCGTTACACTAGTGTGTGGTAAAACGGAAGAGATGCCCTGGAATGCCAGCTCGCTACTAATCCAGTTATATGATTTCATAAACGAACCAATTAAAAATAGAATATCTATCCTCTCAATTCTTTTTCACAGCTGCAATGTGTGTTAAAGCAAGTGAATTTGAACTCGATAGATTGGGAGTAGATAACGTCAGGGAGAATTATTTCTGTTTGCTCTGGTATGGAAAAGATGAATGATTTTGGAGGCATCTAACCGAATTAGCTGACATTCAAGGTGGTATTTACTGTGGTATGAAAAGTTACTCTGATTTTTTCACCAATAGATTTTCCTATTCACAGTGCCTTTCTATTTAGCGCAAATGGTTGTGGAGATTATCTTTGTCAGTTTTTTAGTTTCCTTCCAAAAAATAACCGAAGTACCTGTTTTGTGAAACGGTCTACTAAGGCTGCAAAACAATCTTTGTATGTGAATACATATCGATGTATTCACATAGGCTTCTTTTGGAATTGTCCTCAGGCTTTGACGATATTACAGAACAAATACATTTACATAATATACCATAATTGCGACAAACCTATGTGAATATAGTAAAATGATCACAAATAATCACGTGGTCGTTGCATAACAAAACTATCAGAATTTATTTCAGAGACAGAGAACTGTGACGAAAGAACACAATTAATGGAATGGAAGGTATTTAAATGAGAATTTGTAGCTGGTCGATCGCATTCAGTTAAACGCCAGTTCTGCTCCACGGATGTGAATGTGGTAGCTAACGTTGAAGCTGATCTCTAGAGATAGCCGAC